TTTATACCCTACAGCTGAGCCGATCAAGACATGTGTGTTCGTCCGTCCGTCCGTCCGTCTGTCCATTATAGTTTGTAAACACGATACAGGCCACAGTTATGGACCAATCTTCACGAAATTTTGCATGTAGGAAGGGTTCGGCCCAATGAAGACCTCTATTGTTTTTGGTAAAGATCGGTTAATATTTAGGGGATGAAATGGACCAAATACTAATTTTTGTCGGTTTTTCTGGTCGCTCCAGAGGCCGCAATTATGGTCCAAACATCTCGAATTTTTACATGGAGAAGGGGATTGGGCCAGATCGGGATTGATAAAGATCGGTCAAATTTAGCGGGTCAAATGGACCCAGACTTTTGTGTGAATAATTACAGCATTTGTATTCTATAGCGTATATATTTACCCCTGAAAGGCCAAGCCCAGAGAAGTTTATAGTGTGTTCAAGAGGAGTGGTTGACCTTTAAACTAATACAAATTATATTGTTGTATGTGCTCGGATGTGGGAGTTACACCTAAATATTTAAAGTTATCTCCGTATTCGTATATTATTTAGTAACCCATTATCACTCCAGAGAGCGGAACTATAGCGCTGATCGCTTTGAAATGTTCCATGAGGTTCCAGTTATGGTCAAGGACAACGCCTATAATTTTCAGTGATGATCAGATAATAATTTTGGAATGAAGTGGACCGAAAACTTATTTTTTTGTGTTATTTTCGAGTCGATCTATAGACCACAAATGAAAGCCGAACATCACAACACAACCCACGGTGAAAGGAATCTGGACAATAGCTGTACTGAATACTCGTAATATATCACAATCGAAATGCATATCACGAAATATTGCCCAGGCTCGGAATAAACATCCGCAGAAAGGTTTCCGTGGTAGTTGTGTAGGGTATCGTATGGTCGGCCCCCTCCGACTATACTGCTCCGCTCACTGGTTTTAAAAAATATTTTTTTGTTATCATTAGTAAATAATTCCTAAAATTTAAAAAAGTTATTCAAGTACTATATTTTACAGGCTTTAAGAATTATTTCCAGGACCGTCCAAATATATTTTTTTAATTTGTTATTTATTTTTTGTATATTTTTTTATTTTTCAATATCTTACTTCTCTTTGAAATGCAACTCAATTTTTTTAGGAAAATATTGAGGCAAATTTTGGTTTTTTAAAGGATTTCTGTTTTGTAATTCTGGGTATTTATAAATAATATGTTTGTATAGTAATTTTTAAAAAATTTTATTTTTAAAAATTGTGTTAAATGACTATATAATATTAAATGACTATATATTTTTAAATTAAAGATTTTGTTTGTTAATTTGTTATTTATTTGTTTGAATATATTTTGTTTTTATTTTCAATATCACTCTCCTTGCTGCATCATTTCATTTATTTGTATTTTTTCATTTGCAAATGTAATGGCTTTCACCATTTGTCACCTCAGACATCTGTCCCCCATCAGCCGCCACTCCACTCAGAATGTTTACACTATCAGTTAACAACTATAAAATATTAATGAGTTAAAATAAATAAAAACATGAATCATTTTGAGATTTTCTCACTTTATAAATTAGTTTGTTAATAATGCCAAGGTTTAAAGAAGAGATGCTGTGGAATTTCGAAAAAAAATGGGAGTGTTTTTTAAATATATAGGCAGACATGCACCCGTCATCTCCTTCCAACGATGATCAATGGCAAAAAAAAAACAGTTTCAATGAAATAACAACAATAAGTGATGATATTCCCCAGATGACAATTTACAAAAAAAATATATATATGACACATGCCAACATGAGGAGAGGTAATTATGATGGATGCAGAGTTGTAAGAAGATTAATGATATTCAAAAAATATAATAATAAGACAATTTTTGGAAAAAAAATCATGATCCAACAGTGTCATACGCGTCTATTTTAAAAGAATAATTTTGAAGGACTATCAGATATATAAAGGAAATTGTTTAATAAGTGTGGATTTTTATAAGGAAATATTTTTTTCAAATAAAAATATTTTTCCAAGGACTATCTATTATAAAAACGTTGATTTTTAAATAATATTTTTAAGGACTTTATTGTTTTTTTTTATAAAAATTAAGCAATATTTTTGATAAGGACTATCAGAATTGTATGTGTACATTTTTTAGAGATGGAAGCCAAGATTTTTTAAAGAACATTTTTAATGGTCAAAGTGAGTAATAAACGTGGGTTTTAAAATCATGTTTTTCATGGTACAACTGGATAACAAGCATGTATTTTTAAAAAAAAAAAATTTCAAGGATTATCAAGCTATAGCCTGGATTTTAGAAGTGTGGTAGCTTTATTTAAAATTTGTCATTGCCCAACTGAGTTGAAAAAAAACCGAAGCCAAACCTTTACGATCAGTTCTAAAGGAATGTATTTATATCAAAACAAAAGACTTAAGACACAAGCGTACAAAACCTATTAACAATTGTTACGAGTCAAACACACAACTGAGCTGTTAGCTTGGATTTTATTTCATCGCATCGCTGAGTTATAAGCTACAGTTTTTTAATATTTTTTCTAAATATTCTATGGCTTTTTTAAAGAAGGTTTTTTTATGCTCCAAAAGAGCTGTATGTGAAAAAAGAGAAATAAAATATTTTTAAAAATCCAAGCCAAATCTTCATAATTTAAAGGAAATTAGATGGCATCAAAACAAAAGACTTAAGACACAAGCGTTCAAAAATAGTTTTTCATGAATATTAGAGCGTCGATTTAAAAAAAATAAGAAAGTGCATTTTTTAAGAACCACTTTGGAAGGGCTACAAGATGCGTGAATGATTTAAAAATATTTTTCAAAAACTATCAGAGGCAAGGTTTTATATAAAAAAAAACTAATGTTTTAATTACAATTATTTACAAAAATTTTTTAAAGCATTTTTTTAAAACAAAAATATATTACGTTGGTTATTTAAAAAATAATTTTTTTTTTGAATAAGCAATAAATAGCTTCTGAAAATTTAAAAAAAAACGTTTCAGAGGCGTGAAAATTAAAAAAAACGTTTCAGAATTATAAAAACAACAAACGGCATTGATGTTATAAAAAAAAAATTCAAATGGCTATCAAATAACAATTTTTTAAAAAAAAAAATTTTTAAGGACTATCAGAGGCGTAAATTTTAAGAGAATTGTGTGTTATTAAAAAAAATAATAATAATAAATGTCCAGTGGATTATGTAACAAAATAATTTTGATTTCTTCGATTATCTAAAAAATAATTTTTTAAGGACTGTCAGAGGTGTGGATTATTTAAAAAAAAATAATTTTAAAGACATTCAAAGGAAGCGATTATAAAAAAATAATTTGTTTAGGACTGTAAGATGTGTGGATTATTTAATTTTTTATTTTTTAATGATATTTTTCAAGGAGTGGATTATTCAAAAAAATAAATTTTGGGGACTTTCAAAGGCGTGAATTATAAAAAATAACATTTTAAGAACTTTTAAAAGCGTTGATTACTAAAAAATTATTTAAAGGACATTTAAAGGCGTGGACTTAAAAAATAAATGTCAAGGATTTTCAAAGATCTGGATTACTTAAATAATTTTTTTCGGGCTCTTAGATGCGTATTGAAAAAAATATTGTATTGAAAAAAATAATGTATTGAAAAAAAATATTTTAGGGACTTTCAAAACCGAGGATGATTTAAAAAATATCTATTAAGGACTTTCAAAGGAGTGGATTATTAATAAAATACATTTTAAGGCTATTCAAAGGAGTAAATTACTATAAAATAAAAGCGTGGATTTTTTATGCAAAAAAATTTAAGAACTTTCAAAGGTGTGGATTTTTAAACAAGAAATTTAATGACGAAGATTTTCAAAGGAGTGGATTTTTAAAGAAAAATTTAAGGACGAAGATTTTCAAAGGCGTGGATTGTTAAAAAAAAAAACAAATAAAGGTGTGCATTTTTTTAAAAAAAAAATTAAGGACGAAGATTTTCAAAGGCGTTGAGTTTTTAAAAAAATTAAGGACGAAGATTTTCAAAGTCGTGGATTATTTAACAAATAAATTTTAAGGACTTTCAAAGGATTATTTAAAAAATATTTCAAGGATTTTCAAAGGGGTGAATTATTAAAAAATAAATTTAAGGACTCTCAAAGGCGTGAATTATTAAAAAAGTAAAAAAAAATAATGACTTTCAAAGGCGTGGATTACTTAAAAATATTGTTCAAGACCATTAGAGGCATGGATTATTTAAAAAATATTTATATTATTTTTATGGACTTTCGAAGGCGTATATTATTTAAAAAATAAATTTTAAAGACTTTCAAGGCGTGAATTATTTAAAAATAAATTTTAAAGACTATCATCTTTAGACAAAATATATATATATATATATATATATATCATATATATATCACGAGAACACAATATAAAAATTATTATTTTTTAATAATGTTACTTTCAATGATTTTTTTAATTTAAAATGTAAAACATAAATTAAGTGCCAAAAACCATTCAAACACATTGACAACTAATAAATTATAATTTTTTTGTTAATGTAACTCAAAAAAAAATCCACTTAAGAAATTATGTGTCCCTGTACATGCTATAAATTTATAATTGTTGTAATCATATGATTTTTTTGGTTTAATTCTCTGATTTTTATTGGAGGGGAGTTTTTTTTCATACTTCCCTCTCTTTGTGTAGCAATGCAGCAAAAATACTTGCAATTCACTCTCGATTTTATTTCACTTTTTGTATTTTGATGGCGCTGCCAACTTATATAACATTTATTTGCCACTGCCGATTCTGCATACAAATCATCGGTAATTAATTTGCAACACAAAAGTACAAATCTCACATAAAAAAACTGAATCACAAAGAATATCCGTAACTTTTTGCTGTTGTAACGTTTTTTTTTTTTGTGGTTTTGCACGAATCATGCTTATAAAATATATAATTTCTTAATTTCAAATTTCCCACATGTTTTTGTTATTATAATTTTTGTTGTTTTTTTCTTCATTTTCATTTTAGATGTCTTATTTGTATTCGCACTTTGCCCAATTGGTGAGTGTGCACTGCAAAACAACAGCCGCCACCTCAAATACTCCGGTCAATCAGTGCAAACATGATCTGCTGAATTATGGCTATGAGAAATTGCAAACGTTTACGGATAATCAACTGGAGGCATTGGATCCCTATCAGAGGAATTCGGAAAATTTGAGTAAGTAGAAGTATATTTTTTCTTCATAAGGCGTGGATTATTTACAAAAAAAATTTGAAGGACTCTCAGAGGCATGGATTATTTAAATTTTAATTTTCGAGGGACTATCGGAGGCGAGGTTTATTTAAAAAATTATTTTTGAAGAACTATGAGAGGCGCGGATTAATAACAAAAATATAATTTTTGAAGGATTATCGGAGGCTTGGATTTTGTAAAAATAATTTTTGAAGGACTAGGAAGGACTCATAGAAAAGAAGGAAAATCAGAGGCGTGATTAAAAAAAGTTAGAAAAAGTAGCAGAGTCGTGGATTTTTTAAAAAAATATTTTTTGATAGACTAACAGAGGCGTGGATTAAAAAAACTAATTTTGAAGGACTAGGAAAGACTCATAGACGCGGATTATTTAAAAAATTAATTTTTGAAGGAAAACGAGAGGCGTGGATTTAAAAAAAATTGAAAGACTAGCAGAGTCGCGGATTTTTTTAAAAAAATATTGTTTTGATAGACTAACAGAGGCGTGGATTAAAAAAAAACAATTTTTGAAGGACAAGGAAAGACTTATAGACGTGGATTATTTAAAAAATAAATTTTTGAAGGAAAATCAGAAGCGTGGATTTAAAAAAGAAAAATTTAAAGACTAGCAGAGTCGTGGATTTTTTAAAATAATATTTTGTTGATAGACTAACAGAGGCGTGGATTAAAAAAAACCATTTTTGAAGGACTAGGAAAGACTCATAGACGTGGATTATTTAAAAAAAATTATTTTTGAAGGAAAATCAGAGGCGTTGATTTAAAAAAATTGAAAGACTAGCAGAGTCGTGGATTTTTTAAAAATATATTTTTTGTTAGACTAGCAGAGGCGTGGATTTTTAAAAAATATTGTTTTGATAGACTAGCCGAGGCGTGGATTTAAAAAAAATATTTTTTTGATAGACTAGCAGAGGCGTAAATTAAAAAAAAATATTTTTTGGATGTACTAACAGAGGCGTGGATTTTTAAAAAAATATTTTTTGGATGTACTAACAGAGGCGTGGATTTTTAAAAAAATATTTTTTGATAGACTAGCAGAGGCGTGGATTTAAAAAAATATTTTTTGATAGACTAGCAGAGGCGTGGATTTAAAAAAATATTTTTTCGATGTACTAACAGAGGCGTGGATTTAAAAAAAATTATTTTTTGAAGGACTTATTTTTAAAAAATCCATGCCTCTGGATTTTTTAAAAAATAATTAAAAAAATATTTTTTTCAAGACTTTATATAATAGTGTATTTCTTTAAAAATATTTTCCATGACTTTTTATAGTAGTGCATTCTTTAAAAATATGTTTCATGCTCTTTTAAAAACATTTAAAATGTTCCCTTAATAATTCCCTTTTTTATTTTTTTTTCAGTTTGGACATCAATTATGCGTGATCATCCCAGCTCTCAATTGATAACCACACGCAAACCACAATCCTTGCCAACACCTCCAGCCACAAGTATTATCATTTTGACACATCAACAACCCAGTACACCAAAATCCCAACCTGGCGATACCACCATGACCACCACCACTACAACGGCAACTAGCAGCGAAACTCAATATCCACACAATCCCATGTTTGATAGCAGCGAACAGAAGCATCAATATGCCATGGATATGGATATTGCATACGGCTATCCCAGTATGGCTCACAATCCTCAGGTGGATGTCTTCGATATTGGCAGTGTTCAGAAAACCTATTTGACTGGACCCTCGGTGGTGCGTGTTAAGCCCGATGGTACACCCGTTGAGGAGGATAAAAATAAACCCGCCGTCAAGGATGATGATTTGGAACATTTCGTAAATACTGGTCTATTTGCTCGGGACAATGTAATGACGAAGGCGCCCAGCAGCAGCAATAGCGGCAGTACCACCACTCCCACAGCTACTACATCGGCAAATGGCAAACATCGAAAAATTGCCACCATCAATGCCTTGAAGCAACAATATTTGACCAATTTAGCAATGCAACAACAACAGCTGCTGCCACCCTATGAAAATGCTCGCAGCCCACGTCAGGCATATTGAGGGGAATTAATGGTTTTTAACGGAAACAAAACTGGACAACATTTTTGATGACATTTCAAATTCCAAGTTTCCCTTTAAAAGTCCGCGTGCAAAATGTCATTTTATTAGCATTAGCTTTATATACATATTTATTTTAAAACAAATAAATTTAAGTTGATATATAATTTTTTTCTCAGTGTGATTGTTAAATATGAGAGTGAATGTTGTACATTCCAGTTGATCAAAAACATTTTTTTATAAGTGTAAATGTGTTGAAAAGTATGAATGTGTCTTTTTTTACAAATATTTTTTTTTACTTCCTTAATATTTAAGACCATTTATTTTATATAGAATACAACTCATGGAACAATTTACATACATACATATTTAAATAATATTTGTATTTTATTTTTTGTAATGTGTCATTTATTTACTTCTCTATTTATCATTTTTTCTATACTCTTCTTTTTCTCTGAAAATGTTTATTTTCAAGAATTAATATATTATTTTAAATTATTTATTGAGTGCTTTAGTTATATAAGTTATATATAAATATATACATATATGTATTTTTTGTAATATTTAAAGTTGAATAATAAAATAAAGACAATTAAAATTATTTGAAATACTATTTTAATAAATCAGCATTGGAAGATGCATATTATGCCTGGAATGCATATTATATCTGTCATTCGCTTTGCAATTTCTCAAGTGGATTTCGTAAATCTAAACTCAGTTTAATCGTTCTGAATTTAATTTAGGCAGGATTTATTTTAAAATATACGGGTATGTTCTGGAACGCACGGTGTGTTATTTACACTTCACACATACACTTCCCCTCAGAAGTCACTTCCTGTTCTGCTTCTCACGTGAATTGAAATTTTCGAACTGCCACATAATATAAACTGTATTCGTGTTTTGCATTGTTTCTCTCATTTTTTAGTAATTTCGTTAATTCTAACGAAAATTTTATTATTAAATTTGTTTTTAATGGCGTTTGATGTTAATTTTGTGATTTTAAATAAATTATACGCGATAATAACATATAAATCTATCATCATGTGCCTTCTTTACTTCGAAAAATATATTCTTTATCACCATGAAAATGTAAGTGTAAAGAATTCACTTCAAACGGGTGCAAAGTGTGTTATAGAACAGCACGACGTGTGTTCGATATACTTCTACAGTTGATGTGAATGCCAGAACATGCCCAATAATTTAAAAAAAAAAATAATCCCAAAAGTTTCTACTCTAAAAGTCATGATTTAGATTAGGCGAGTTTACTTGCGGCAAGTCTTTGTTTGTAGGAGAGAGGGGCAAGGGGAATAGAAATGAAAAAAAATTGCTTGTAGCTTTTCTGTTTGTGTATTTCGTATTTTTTGGCATTTTATATGTTTATGTCATGGTACAATTATAAAAGGTAACAACACATTTGATCCAACGTAATACTAGTATATATTTAAAATTATGTTTTTTTTATTTGAAATTGTTCGTTTCATGTTAATTTTGCCTGCTTGGAAAGTTTAAATAAATAATACCCTGCATTTTCATATGTGTTACACATATAAGTGGCAATGGCTCAATTATAGGAAAGATGTGGAAGCGATAGAAATATAAATTTTATAGATTTTCATTCATGTTTTTCAAATTTTATTTTGAGGATTCAAAAATATTTCATTTTCAAAATAAATATAATTTATTTGTTTGTTTACATTTTTCTGTCAAATAACGTTGACACAAAAACAAATTTCCATGTGGTTGTTGTTGTTGTTACCTTCTATTATTATACCTTCTATTATTATACCATGTGTGTATGTATATTTAAATGTGAAAAAAACAACAAATAGAAAAATATTTTGGAAGCCGAATTGCCTTGTATAGACGCATGAAGCAAGTTAAAAAAAAAATAATCCCAAAAGTTTCTACTCTAAAAGAAAGCTTCAAAAATTCCCAAGTAGTATGCGATTTGGAAGCAGTAAATCATCTGATAACGTAGAAATTTCAAACATGTTCGCAGATTTCTTCGAATCATCTTACTCCTTTATTGTATTAAGTAGTCAATATGGCAATATTTTTTTATTGAAAAACTTAATAATCCCCCTTGCATTATACTAACAAATTACGAAGTTTTGGCGGGCATAAAATATTTGCGTACATAACCCACCAGGGCCTGATGGTGTCTCACACTCATTCTTAAATCATGTTCAAATGAATATTATTTACCTCTGATATCTTCAATATTTCTCTACGTCAAGGTTATTTTCCTATATTCTGGCGATCTAGTTGTATTATTCCTTTACATATATCTGAAAATAAATGTTTGGTAGATAATTACAGATGTATTTAATTCATTAACATAATTGCAAAAAGTACATAAACTTTTTCGTTATAAACTTAATCTTATGATTTCCTAATACTTTCTTAAATTGGATATCTACCTACTTTGAAGGTCGCTCGCAGAAAGTGTTACTTAATGGTTCATTATCCATGAATATTACTGTCTTTTCAAGGGTTTTACAAGGAAGTTACGTAGAGCCTCTTCTTTTTATTCTATACATCAATGACCTACCTTCCGTTACCCGTTTTCCCAAAAAATAAATAATGTATGCTGATGATGTTAAGCTTTTCCGGCATAATAACTCTTCAAGTCACTCCAATATTTTACAGTTCGAGCATTCTTTGGCTAAAATGGTGTAGGGCCAATGGGATGTCTTTACATCTTAAAAATGTGAGAAGCTATCATTATTTAGATCACAACCAGTGTTGCCAATGTAGCACTTTTAGTACTAGATTTAGCACTTTTTAATCTCGTTTAACTCCAAAAAAAGGGATCTAGCACCTAGCATTTTTTTATAGGATTTTTTGTTTCACGCTGTAAATTTGATTTTCTAATACTATCCAGCATGTGCCGTGCATTCCAAATTTCTTAAAAAATGGTCGGGTACTTCATGTGGTGACTATGACATTGTCTGCTAGCAGATCGCTTATTTGGGAAAATGAAATTAAGGTGTCCATTGTATGAGATCGATGTAAAAATCATGAACATGAATTATGTTGGAACTTTCTGAAAATAAGTTTTTTATTCACCGGAAATACCGAATGCCAAGTTATAACCACTTTAGAGTACCGAAAAGGCAATTATGTCAGAATAACCATAATAAAACCAGTAAGGAAAGTTCAAAACTCGGATTCTTTTGTGTAGCATTTGTATGAAATAGAACAAAATAATATATGTGGAGCTATATGCAAATCTGGACCTAATTGAGCAAACGTGGCATATATCGTTTGGTATGCTGCAGCACAGAGCGCTGTCCACAATTTGATCTTGTGTATAATATAATCGGATATACTATTTATGGGAGAAGTATATCTAAAACTGAACCGATTTCATCCAAACTTCACGTACATTAAACTGGATCTAATCTAGTACGCTGTGCCAAATTTTGTCTCAATATGAATAATATTGGAAGTTTGGTGCACCATTTACCTAAAATCGGACGAAAATATATATGGGAGCTATATCTAAATCTGAACCGATTTAAACAAAACTTCGCATACATCAATCAGGACCTAATTCAATACGCTATGCAACATTTTGTCTCAATCTGAAACACATTGGAAGGTACACCATCTACATAAAACTTTTGACTTTGGTGCACCATTTACATAAAACGGACGAAACTATATATGGGAGCTATATCTAAATCTGAACCGATTTTCTCGAAACTTAGCACAGATCATTATGCACTTAAGTCAGTACGCAATGCCATATTTAGTGCAAATCAAAAGATATATAGGGACTTTGGTGCACCATTTACATAAAATCGGACGAAACCATATATGGGAGCTATATATTAATATGAACCGATTTTCCCAATTTCAATAGGGCCAAACAAATGAGCTGTTCCAAATTTCATCCAAATAAATCCAATGACATAATACCCTATATCACAGTGTGATGAAGGGTATAAACATTCCGGCAAACAAAGTATTAATATTTTAGTACGAAGATTTCAAACCCCATTAAAACAAATATAAAATTTTAGTCAAATTTTGAAAAATAGGGTCTCCCTGGGGGCTACCCCTAAATATGGACAAATATTAATAACTTTTGATAAGGAGATTTTTACTCAACGATAATTTAAACTATCAATTTAAAACCAATGCGATTGCAAAACGTGTTTATAAGGGCTACTCTAAAGTCTTTTAGTAAAAAGACTCTATCCAGGGAGAAACCAAAATAAAAAATTACACCAATTTAGTTTGAAAAATGTGGCCAAAAGCTTAAAAAAATTAAATATTTGGTACTCAAAAGGACCGATATATTCCATTTCCAATATCACATCTCCTAGGAGTAATAGCAATGTATGCGCAAAATTCCAAAGCTCTGTTTTCAATATTGCGACCTTCTGGCACTTTTTTTAAATTTTTAGCACTTTCTAGCATTTTTTTTCAACAAAATATAGCATTTTTCCTCAAAGTGTTGGCAACACTGATCACAACAATCTGCATTGGTAATTATAAATTGGAAAATATAAGAGTAATATTATACCCTAAACTGAGGTTTAATATCCATATTGAGTCTTTCATTAATAAAGCCATATCTTTATTAGGATTAATTAAACTTTGGTCTAAAAAATTTGACGATCCTTACGTGACAGCACGCATATTTACAAAAACTTTTGTTTTTGTTTCGACCATCTTATAATATTTCACATGGTTGCTAACTTTGCCGAATTCAAGTAGAAATTACGCACTTTGAAAGTTGATGGAGACATCAGCTGCGCTAAATGGACTACCTATTTAAGGGCTAAGCAGAATGTTCGCGTTGAGCCATCCGTCGCATTATGTGTTAACGAAAATACAACAACCACAAATAAACTATAACACCAACGCTTGAAGTTGATGTGCGCTGAGTTAAATATATTTTAACTTTTTTCGTGCGTTTACGCAATAAAAAAAGGTTAACGCAAACATTCTGCTTATGGTCATCGTAGTAAAAATGGTTATCGTAGTAACGTGGTTACCTTGC